TCACTTCAGGTTTTGAGGGAAAAATTAATACATAATATGATTAATATGGAACTGGTTAGAAACATCAAGCTAACAAAAGAAGCTAACAAACAAAGTTAACAAAGATGGTGTGCTTGGTGTGAGAGAAGCAATAAACGATCTAGCAATTCTAATTATCTAATTATGAGGAAATTAAAGTATTAAAGATGTAGACTGTATTAAAATAAGTAAAATAGGCCTAGATTTGAATTAATGTTAAAAGAGCCATGAAATATCTAGCTGAAAGTTAAAGTATGTGAAATTATTAAAGATATAATCCTTCTAGATTGAGTAAATTAAACAAGGAAATCCAGGATAAATGCGCTGACAGACCAAGCTTTTAATTAGGGATAATGAAAGTATACGTGAAATAGCTTATTATTAGAATCACTGAAGAGCTGGCTTTTGGTTCCTTATTGTATTTCTACAATGAAGAGCTGGCTATTGTCTTTAGGATGATATGTGGTGATGCCCCAATCTCTTTCGTGGTGCGAATTTTGATCTACTGTAAGAACAGGTTTTCTCTCTTTTTTTTTTAAAACCACAAATCGAACCCTAAAACTTGAAGATAACAAAATTGCTAAAGCAATCTTTAAAGTACAGAAAATTAAAATAAAAAACAGAAAAATAAAACTTAAAAACCTAGCTGTTGGTTATAGTTAATAAAACTATGACAGAAAAAGCTTTTCATTAGGACCAGTGATAACATGAAAGGGTTATCTTTTGGTTACTGTAAATCCAACTGTAGAAGATCTAGCTTTTAGCTGGAGAAAATTAAACTGTGGAAGACCTTGTCTGCTAAAGGTGGACACAAGCAGTAAGGCCATTTTAATAAGCAGCAGCTGTGTTAATATTCAAATGTAGAGGCAAGGTACCTCATTCTAATGCACATGGAAACTGACCAACCAGGCATTACCTGCACAACATCCAGACCATCTAATCTGGACATTACTGAGACAAATTAGGCAGATTTTTTGTGTTTAAAGACATAATTAACCATTCTCACAGTGCACCCACATTCTGAGGGCCTTTAGTATAATTATTGCTCTACTGGAGCAACTTCTAATGAAGCCACATCTGCACATTAGCAACATGTCTGCTTTTATGTTTTCCATTAGTTTCAAATATTCAGTTATGAACATGAACAGTGTTGAAACTGTCTGCATAATTGTATACAAATATAAGCACCTGTGTGTGGAAGCCTGTTTATATGTGAGTATACAGTGTAAAAAAACTATTGACATCATCATCATCATACCCACAAATGCAGTTGAAAATTTAAGGTAAGAAATTTCGTTCTATGTTTAGTCAAATCTAATTTCCCACATGCACTTCATTTAACTTATCATGAAGCTTGTTAAGTCCTTGTAATTAATTTCACAAAAATACATGTGTTATCAAGTTTTTTTGTCATAAACCTTTGAAATAGCAACAGGTGTGCAACAGGGATGTCTTTTGTCACCTTTCTTAATTTTACTGACAGTAGACTGGATTATGAAGACAGCAACTGCTAACACCAGAAATGGAATTCAGATGATCTCCACAAAACAGCTTGATGAGCCAGACGTTACTGATGTCATTTCTCTTCTGTACCACTTATGACATCAGATGCAAGACAGATTAAATATACTTGATGAGAGATCACAACAACTAGGTGTACAAATGCAAAAAGGAAAAACAAAGATGATGAGAATAAACCAGGCAAATAGTAATCTGGTGTCTCCTAATGGTATCCCACTCCAAGAAGTGGAGTTATACACCTATTTGGGCAGTAATGTAGATAAAGAAAGGGGAACTGATAAGAGATATTAAACAAAAGGCAAGAGGAGCTTCTAGGAATTGAGTGGAGGTGAACAGAAGTTAAAACTAAAACTAAGCTTGAAGTTTTTAATTCTAATGTCAAATCAGTACTGTTGTATGGAGCAGAAGCATGGAGAACAACTAAAACAATTACTAATAAACTACAAACATTCATTAGCGCAGGATCATCAATTGTCTTACCGATTGGTGAGGGCGATCATGCCTCTCCACATATTATGATCCTCAATTGTGTGTGTATCAGTTCATGTGCTGACACCCCTCCATTTTAAGACAAAAAACTCTCAAGAATCTTCTTACTCTGTCTTCCACTCTCTCTGTTTCCAGATATTTCCAGTGGTCACATGTTTTAGTTTCCCTCATTTCATAACACTTACAAAAAATTATGACTGTCACTTTCTGATGTTTGTGATAAGTTGTCTTTGAGCACTCACCTCTTTCAAAACATCTGAGTTACTTTACTTAGCTGCCCGAGGAATTCTAAGCATTCTTCTGTAAAACCATCTTTTCGAGGCCTCAAGAAATTGTTTGGCTTGTTTATGAATTGTCTAGGATTCACAGCCATATGTTGAAATTGACTCCATGCAGCATGCGAGAATTCTTTTCCTAACCTCCAGTGATATGAATTTATTGCAAAAAATGTTTTTTGTTTGTATAAAATGCAGTTTTAGCCTGATGAACATCAGTCTTAATAGTGCTCTTGACAGAGCTCATCAACGAACGTTACATCCCCCCCCCCCACCCCCTCCGACACTTTGATGAGGTACAAGGTGGAAGAGAAGATAAAGAAGAAGTTTTGGCCAGTGCTATTCTGTTCTTTATCTCTATGATACATCTTCCACTGGATGTCATCTGTGTGCCTAGATACTTAAATTTCTGTACTTGTCCTAAGATCACGCCTCTGACTTTTATTATACATTTAGGCACTTTTCTTTTCTTGTAAATCATCAGTACTTGTTTGTGTCTTTCCATTATTCAAACTGAGGCCCATTTTATCACTTTCTACCACCACTGTATCTATTGATGCCTGTAGTTCTTTCTGACTTGTCGCTATCAAGACAGTGTCATCAGCATAAGGCAGGTTGTTTATGTTATGACCACTAGCTACAATTCCTGGCATATCCATGACAGATTTCAGTATATATTCACTGTATAATGAAAACCAATCAGGTGATAGTACACCTCCTTATCATACTCCCCTCTGTATGATCTGAAATGTTCCCAATTGGTTATTGATCCTTAAAACTGCTGTTTGCTATCAGTACAGTTCATTCTGCACTGGAAATAGAGAATTAAATGGTACGATAGAACCTCTAATGTAGTGCTTTAGGAGAAAACTAAACAAGTTTCAATGGACCAAGGTAGTGAGGAAAGACGTTGACACTGGACAGGACCCACATTGAGATAACCTGAAAATAATATAACTAGAATTTCTTTGCACTGGAACCCACAAAAATAAATGCAGATGAGAAAAAATGTGGAGAAGAGAGATAAGTTAAAAAGATGGGGAGGACATGGAGTGAGCCGCATGAAGTAGTGAAGTATCTAATGACTTGGTTGAGACCTACGCTCCATTTGTGGTATAGAAGGTAGAATAAGAAGGCATGTTATCATATGAGCAGTGACTGGCAGAGCGGTTAGGAACACCGGACTCTCTTTTAGAAAATCTAGGTTCAAATCCTTGAGAAGATGATGGATTTTATTTTTGCCACGACAGAAAAAAAATCCATCATCTTCTCAAGGATTTGAACCTGGATATTTTAAAAGAGAGTCCAGTGTTCTCAGCAGTTCTGCCAGTCACCCATGTGACAACATGCCTTCTGTCAGGGGCAAAAAATAAAATCCTAACCCCTCCGTGTGGATGCCGGGGTCCCATTGTGAAGGAAAACAAGAATGGTCCACTGCCACTCCCTAACACACTTGTAGTAAGAGCTGACTAATTAGTGATGTCTTTCAAAGTCTAACGGTACAATCAACAAAGTCACATATGCTGCATCAATACTCGACTGCGTAGGGTTAGCAACTGGCGGTTGACCTGTCTGGTTTTGAAAAGTACTCCAAACGAATCGGGAAGACTGGTTGGGCTGAGATCAGACAGAGCTGAGTATGCCGCATGAGCCACGAATTGAAGATTAACACCTGTACAAGCTCGATCGAGAAGTACAGAGCTCTTGTAGTCTGTCTGAGGAATGATGAGGGGTGCAGTAAAACTCTTCACTGTCAAGGTGGCCGCAATATGGCTAATCTCCAACACCGCATACAATGCACTGAAGTAATTGGGTGATGCTGCAGAAAAAAGCTTTGAGCTGATATGGTCACAATGGAACGACGTGAGGGATAAGCCTTAGTAGACTTGTCCAAGCCCCTAGTAAAGAACTTCTAATTCCCTTAAGCCAAAGTTGTCTGATCAACGTCTGCCCATGCAATTTCCAACTGCTAAGTCTGTCAAATGAACCAACCATCCATTTTCCCTCTGGTCGTGCAGGTAGGCTTAATTTGCTACCATAGCGATGATATACCTCATAGCCTCAGTACCTGTTGCAATCATCATAACATCTTTTCCAAATGTCTGATAATCTAAGCAGGAGATGTTTGAGGCCCAGGAGTCATGACTCAGGTTGTTCTTTCTTCCCCCCCCCCCCCCTCCCACTTCCAAGATTGTCTAGGAAGGTAAACAGGCCGAAACAAACTGTTGATAGGGGGACACCTACTGGAGATCGGTAGACTCCTGCTGTGCATGCTGTCGTTCTTCTTATTATAGTATATAATGTCTTGTCCTCAGCCTCTGTCATGTCAGCTATTGTTGATACATATGTTCTTATGCTGTGATGTCAAACTGTTTAACATCTCTCTTGGTCTTTATATATCTTTCTATTCAAACTTCCTGCGATTGCAAAATGTCACACAATAAATTTGTAGAATCCTTCAAAAGCATCTGTCTGACAGGCGAGACACCAACAGTCTGCATACAAATTACCCAGATCTGTAAAATGGATGTGCATACAAAATCCATGTTTTGAAACAAGACTAAAGTCCAGAAGTGAACAAACAACCATAACTTTTTACCGGAGTTTAAAGCCAGTGAACACTTAAAAGAAGTTTGTAGAAGACGTTTGCAACAATGACTCCTGCTTTTAACAACTGATCTCGTTTTACATTTGCAGATTACCAAGGAGGAGTTTGAGAATTACTATGCTGGTGTCAGCGCATCCATTGACAACGATGCCTACTTTGACCTCATTATGAGAACTGCATACAGACTTAACTGAATTATTCGGATGCTTTAGTGTCTTTGCAAATAATGACAATTTTTCTTTTGTTTTCTTTGTCTGAAAACTACTTACAGGGTAAAACTCTCCTACAGTGAACATTATTTACTCACCTGAATGTTTTTATTGTATCTGTACAAAAATCTAACATCGAAAAGTATCTAGAAAATAACTTTTCTGGTTGCAACAATTAATTACCATTTCTTCAAAAGTGTTATATTTCATTTAAAATTTAAGTTTGTTTTTAAAATGGAAAAGTAGGTGATAAATTCAGTGGCTAAAATTTTTAAATTATTATTATTATTATTGTGTGGAAGACATTTTAAATAGTTTTATATGAAATAGCAAAACTTGACATCTAAGTGGTTTAATGTCATGTTCCTGACTGTGCAAGATTCTTTGAAAGTCAACTTTCTCTGGTCAAAATTATTTCATAAAATGTCAACAATTATACACTGTAGAAGTCAAGAGCTTGGATAGTAGACAAACTGAGAACACAGAGTGCTTGTCACATTAGTTTCTTTAGCTTCATTAATACATGTGCAAAGTGCCTTTTATGATATTATCTGAGACTTATACACATAAGTTTACGTGCTTTTTATGGGTATGTTTGTGGCAGCTGTGGTCTTGCCTTCTCCAGCTTACATGAAAGATAGACATGGTGACATAAGGCAGATGATTGACAAACCACATCTTACATGAAAGATAGACATGATCACTGAGGCAGATGCTTGACAAACCACATCTTACATGAAAGATAGACATGATCACTGAGGCAGATGCTTGACAAACCACATCTTACATGAAAGATAGACATGATCACTGAGGCAGATGCTTGACAAACCACATCTTACATGAAAGATAGACATGATCACTGAGGCAGATGCTTGACAAACCACATCTTACATGAAAGATAGACATGATCACTGAAGCAGATGATTGACAAACCACATCTTATATGAAAGATAGACATGATCACTGAGGCAGATGCTTGACAAACCACATCTTACATGAAAGATAGACATGATCACTGAGGCAGATGATTGACAAACCACATCTTACATGAAAGATAGACATGATCACTGAGGCAGATGATTGGCAAACCACATCTTATATGAAAGAGACATGATCACTGAGGCAGATGATTGACAAACCACATCTTACATGAAAGATAGACATGATCACTGAGGCAGATGATTGACAAACCACATCTTACATGAAAGATAGACATGATCACTGAGGCAGATGATTGACAAACCACATCTTACATGAAAGATAGACATGATCACTGAGGCAGATGATTGGCAAACCACATCTTACATGAAAGATAGACATGATCACTGAGGCAGATGCTTGACAAACCACATCTTACATGAAAGATAGACATGATCACTGAGGCAGATGCTTGACAAACCACATCTTACATGAAAGATAGACATGATCACTGAGGCAGATGCTTGACAAACCACATCTTACATGAAAGATAGACATGATCACTGAAGCAGATGCTTGACAAACCACATCTTATATGAAAGATAGACATGATCACTGAGGCAGATGCTTGACAAACCACATCTTACATGAAAGATAGACATGATCACTGAGGCAGATGATTGACAAACCACATCTTACATGAAAGATAGACATGATCACTGAGGCAGATGATTGACAAACCACATCTTATATGAAAGATAGACATGATCACTGAGGCAGATGATTGACAAACCACATCTTACATGAAAGATAGACATGATCACTGAGGCAGATGATTGACAAACCACATCTTACATGAAAGATAGACATGATCACTGAGGCAGATGATTGGCAAACCACATCTTACATGAAAGATAGACATGATCACTGAGGCAGATGATTGACAAACCACATCTTACATGAAAGATAGACATGATCACTGAGGCAGATGCTTGACAAACCACATCTTACATGAAAGATAGACATGATCACTGAGGCAGATGATTGACAAACCACATCTTAAATGAAAGATAGACATGATCACTGAGGCAGATGATTGACAAACCACATCTTATATGAAAGATAGACATGATCACTGAGGCAGATGATTGACAAACCACATCTTACATGAAAGATAGACATGATCACTGAGGCAGATCATTGGCAAACCACATTTAAAAACCCAGTCAGTGTAAATGTATGAGAAATATTATGTAAAAAGTGCTGGCAATTCTTCTTCATCTTCACACATCAACCTGATATTTTTGTCTATATCTGAACCACATAAATCTACATTCATTGGTTAGTCCACAGATAGTACACTTTTCTGACTCTTCTATGGCAGCCAGTTGATGCATTATTCATAATATCAGAATTGTTAGTTTAATTCTTTCTGCCCTAAAGTGTTATTATTTTGAGTTCTTTGGATTCAAATTTTGGCTACGTTAAATTTTTTCTCAACATAAAAAAAAAAAAAATAAGTAATTACAGGCTGGTGTTTAAAGAGTTAAAGAAAGCAGCAGTCTATTTAAACTTGTTAACATCTCCACAATTTGTCCTCAAGAGGTGTTGACGTAGGCAAAAAATAAATGTTTTGCCCTGCATCTGTTGGGACACTTACAGCAAATGTTTAGCCATCCCTTTGTGAGTTGTATTCATCTGTACTGACTCTCTCTGGCTTACTAAGCAAACAGTATTTCTATCTTTTAACTAAATATGCATGACTTTTCTAGTTGCCTGAATATGATATTTGGAATAAAAGTTAGTCAGTTTAGCAAACTCCAAGGATTCCCCCCCCCCCCCCCCCCCCCAGATCATAGGGCATAAAAGACAACAAAGAAACATAAAACAGGCAACTAGTTTCTGTATTAACACAATCACTCTGAAAACAAATGTTATGTCTACTGTTTAATGCAGTTTCAGACATTGCAGGCAATAGTTTATAAAAACAATGTAACCTACAGTAAACAGAAATGACATCAGGCTTGGGTGTCAGGTTTAAAAAGAATATTGAAAACATAACTTCACATAGCAGACAGGTGAACACTGTCAATAATGATCGACATATTTAGAAACAAAACATTCTGAAATTAGCGACTATGAAAATAACCATTTGACCTGCTGAATGGTACATATATGGTCATTTTCATTATAGTCTTAATTTGCTTGCTCAAATGTGTACAAACCCAAACCATTTCTGAATGTTCTTTAATGACATAATCATTTACTTGTCTTCTATAAACATATGAACAGGTATTAAATAATAACACATCACTGTATAAACACTGACAATATAGAACAAAATAAGTAACCTTTCACAAATCCTGGACACAGACAACTGCTAGCTTCTCCTCTAAAACACAGGTGGAAGTAGCAATCTTCAGTGAAAACAATGTATCTACTCCTCTTAACTAATTTAACTGGAAGATGCATTAATGCCTTTAGCAACAGCCTGAAGAATGATCTTAGCATGTTGTAAAGTATATTATTTCCCAGCGTCCCTATCTGCTGCTCATCACTGAAGTATTTAACTATAAACAGTATGATAAACAAAGTATTACAGTGTATTGACTGGCACTCACAGAAAGAAACATAAATGGGAGGACATACTAGACAAAATAAAAAGCAAAAGCTGTAGTGTATTGCTAGGCAACTAGTCTTTGATTTTGATGTTATCATGGAAAGATATAAAACTGAATGAAAAGTATATCAGTGAGCTTCACAATACAACAAACACAAACAAAACGTGAACATTTGATTTTGATGTTGTCTTGTGCAGTGTTAATCAGCCGGCAACCTGCGGCTGTGTCCTGCCTAATAGCATTTTGTCAACTCCCTGTTTGTGTGAAAAGACTTTCTCAACAATGCCTGCAATAAAAGCCAAACAGAGAAACAGAATGGATGTTTCACAGAGTTTAATCAGAAACAATTCTCTAGCCATGTACAAAAGATATTCTCACCACCAAGCAGCAGCACTTGTCACATGAGGTGAAACATACCAAGCAGCAGCACTTGTCACATGAGGTGAAACATACTAAACAGCAGCAGCACTTGTCACATGAGGTGAAACATACTAAGCAGCAGCACTTGTCACATGAGGTGAAACATATTAAGCAGCAGCAGCACTTGTCACATGAGGTGAAACATACCAAGCAGCAGCACTTGTCACATGAGGTGAAACATACTAAGCAGCAGCACTTGTTACATGAGGTGAAAACACATTTTAAGATAGGACCTAACATACACACAAACTAATCTGCATCTGATTGTGTTACTATTTTTGGTTGGACATCAAATGGTCCATGAAACAATTTTCTCTGTTCTGCATACACACACACAAAAAAGGTTGAAGAACACTACCAGTGTGTTCTCTCATCTCTACATCTTTATATGAGTGCCCAAATCAATAGTTATTAATTGGTTTATTTTAGTGTTTCTATGGCCTTTGGGGTTACCCAGCTATTTGCACACTTTATATTCTCAACCAACATCCACTTACCATCACTTTCCTGGAGGAAACCAGGGGCAAAAAAACTATTAAAGGGGTCAAAGCAGCAATATGTCTTTATGTACACAAGCACATAACGGGAATCAGCAGCTAAGAGAACTCTGTCCAATTAAACACACACTGCCAACTTGATACTTCCATATTTGAAGTAAAATAAGTATTAAAAGATGTGTTTGCCCCACATTTTTCTTCAGGGTATCATATTGTATAGTTGCACTATTACTGAGATTTCATTTCCCCATTTCCTCCAGATATTCTGTTTGACACTGATGACATTAGTCCGGACATTTGTGGCCAATGTTTATTGTTCACCAATACTAGGAAATGCTGGCATCCCAACATTCATCATCATCATCATCCAATATCATGTTCTGTGCAAAAGTAGCCCTCAAAAGAATCTAAACATTTCAAACATAAGCCAGATGTCTTGCCTTTTTCACTGTTATGGGTACATCATGTTTTTTTTTTTTTAAATTCTCTGTCATGTGGTCTTCTGTTTTCCTGGAACGTTTATCTATCC